CATCAGTTAATAAAAACGAGGGGATATAAGTGAGGCTTTAAAAAATAACATCTCCGACTAACAGCCAGCGTTGGTTTCTTTTCATCATCACCATGACCTTTCTCTCACCCTACCCAGTAGTTTCAGTTGCCTATAGGCATCTTAAGCCTGGACATTAAGGTGGATGATCAGAAAACCGGTCATTTTGTAAGGCATTGCAGCAGTTAATCAACATTAAAAGGGGCTGTTATCTTTATGGTTGGCAGGATGATTCAGTTCATTGGGGAATATTTTACGTTTAAATGAAGATCTGACTTTCAGAAAACTGGACACACAGTGACATCCAGTATTAAAAAACAGTCCCCTATTGGTTTAATATGCGTTTTATGTGCAAAGGTTATATTAAGAAAATCCGTCTGACTCATCATCAGAAGCTGAACTCCAGCCTCCCATCATCATCATCATCATCATCATCAGTGTCTCTGTGTCTCACTTTTATCGTCCATTAACTTCCTGCCAGATTGAACCCAGCTTTCGTAATGGTGCTGCTGGCATTTGTGGTTGTTGCCGCGTGAGTGTGAGCTCGTCCTCTGGTCTGCAGGCTGACAGAGGATATTTAAGGTGGAATGAGTCAGCCAGGACGGGGCAGAATAAAACCTGCGTGGTGTCGCTGAGTGGCAGCAGAGGCAGCGGGTTCATAACCCTCCTCAGCAAAGTTAACCTTTAAACCGACTCACGCTGATCACTCTGACTGGAGCTCACTGTGCACATGCAGTTTTTTTTAAAGGACATGTCTGGTGATACAATATATTTTTTAACAACTCCCATGAAAACAAGAAAACCAACTGTATTTGCTTTGTGTGTGCACTGCTGCACTGAGTGACATGTTCCTTGATCACCATGAACTCAGTCCCACGCACCCCGACCTGCTGCCCCAAATACTCACTAGAGCACCAAATGTGGATTCATCCGCCACGGAAAATAGTCCCCAACAAATGCACTATTTCCTCCGGTTAGTGTAATAAAAACTACAGTGAGCAGCTGCTTTAGGAAATAAAAATTTAACTATACATTTGTGAGGTGTTTTTAAAGATTTACGTCTTCAGAAGGAACCAGTAACTATTTACATGCAATTTGGTTATGTAATTTAAATCCAAAATAAATGTAACTGTAATCTGTTACAGTTACTGCAAAAATGTTTAATAGCTGGTAAAAGCTCGGCTGTATGTTAAACAATATTCATTTTGTTGCTTTGCATGTTTTTCTTGTGCACATGCTTGTCTTTCTTTGTTGTTTCCGGCCACATCAGTTTAGTAAAGTTTGATGCTGTTCTGCAGCTTTTGATTGGTTCTCATGTTTGAATTTGCAGCGCCGCCCGTCTGCCAGTTAAAGTGCCTCTCAAGCTGTCTTTTTGTAAATGCTTAACAGTTTTAAACATTCATTACACATTTAGAAAAGCAATTAAAAAGTAATAAAATGTCATGAGTTACATTACTTTGAAAAAGTAATTAAATAGTTACTATTACATTTTAAGTAGGGTAACTTATAATCGGTAACCTATTACATTTCCAAAGTAACCTTCCCAACTCTGCTTGGAGCTGAGAGTCACAGACAAGAAGTCAGAAAGTATTAAGAGACCGATATGTTGTTGTTTTTAGGAATTGTTAACAGTAAGACAAATGTCCTTTAAGGGGCTGGAGAAAACTGGTTTGTGTTAAGTTTAAGGTTAGTTTATTATCCTTAACCACAAACAGAGGATACTTATAAATAGCATGTGGTGCTTATTCTCCACAGCATGCCTTTGTAACAAACACGCATCCTCATTTTACATACATACATGTAATTTTATGTAGAAATGTGTGAAAAGATCTATTATTATAGCTAATATTTAATAAAGTGCAAGAGTTTTCCATTTTTTCAGATACGTTTTTCTGCAACATTTAGGGCAGATTTATATTGTTTCCTATTTTTTATTATCTAAAAACAGTATAAAGAATATTAAATTGGCACTATTGGATTTGTAGTCTCGACATAAGTGGTCTTGACCGCAGACAGTTTGGATAATTTTTCTTGGAGACTTTCACTCATCCTCCCAGGGCTGTTTTACCATGTTAACTCATAACTGAGTTATCATCTGTTCAGTCAATTAAACTATCAAAAGTAGCCACATTAACGGTCCAATTAGGCTGTAATGCTTCATACACTATGAGCTATCACACCAGCACTATGAATCATAATGAGTTCTTCAAGGAAACTTTAAATCCCTGTGGAAACATCATAGCAGCAACCTAGACAATAAAACTACCATTAAAACTCCGCAGTCACACACTGTAAGAATATCACAGAGCATTAGTTAGTATAAGTTGGCTTTAAACCTACTATTTAACAGATAAAACTGCCTGTAAGAATAGTTTCCTTACTGTCCCTTTGTCTAATAATATTTAGAGATGAAACCGCATTAACGTTCAACCAGTGGCATCAGAACGATTGAAGACGCTCTGCTTGTCGCTGTCCGCGGTGCTGAAACACTCAGGCTGGTCGCTGTCCGCGGTGCTGAAATACCACGCAGCGTTAAGTGCATAAAGGAGACAGGAAGTCATTGTAGTTACTGTGAGCAGAGCCGGGAGGTTAGTTATGAGTCATAACTGTGAGTAGGACGTTGCTATAATAATCCTAAAGGGATTTCTAGTTTGACTGCTGATGACACAACGGGGTTTTAGTTTGTAACAGGTGTGTCATGAACAATTGGACGGCCTTTAAAAACACTTAAATCTGTATTATTTGCTGCTCTAAACAAAATCCCCTCTAAGTGATTATACTCAATCAGAATCAGAAATAGTTTATTGATCCCCGAGGGGAAATTGTTGTGTTACAGTTACAGTAATCAAGGCATTAAAGAAATAATATATAATAATAAAAAGTTTGCAAATAGAAGATATAAAACGTACAAATCTAAAAATATAAATAGGACTGTGGGAGTATTTTTAAGACATAAATGTAATGAATAAATAAAAAATACTTATAAATCACAGTACTGGGACAGAATAAACCTGAATATTTCACAGTAGTTGAGTAAAAGTATAAGGTCATAACTGATAGGCTACATTATATATAATTTTACCAGCTTCAGGAAATACTGAAAACAAGTTAGACAGACAGTTAAAAGCTGCGTTATTAGCTGTTTTTGGAGTCTAGAGTGGGAACTATCATGACAAAAAATGACAATAAGGCCCACAACTTGTACAACTTGTACAACTTGTTAAAATGTACGACTCTGTACTGCTCCATTTTATTGACAAAAACATCCTCAAATACACCACGACCCAGATCAATTTTAGGTATTTCATCTTGTAAAACAAATGATAATCAGTTATGAAAATGTGAAGGAAACAGTGAAGCTCAGTTCCAGTACAGCAGTACTTCAGAGATAAGTTTAACCCACAAAACAGCACGGAGTAGGGGCTATTCTAGTAGGAAGGGCCCCATCTTCTCATAATCTCTCCATTCTTAAGGCACATAATGGTGTAAATAGCCTATTTACTCAACAGCAGAGTCCCTACAGAGAACTTTACATAAGGCTGAAAAGCAGCGTGACACCTGTAACCACGCCCATCAGTGATGTCACAGGGTCCTGGTGTACACCTGTACATCACTTTCAGCAAGGTTAGAGGTTAAACCACTTTTCAGGGGTGTAGTAACTAAGTTGCTCTTTCATTTTGATGATATCTGAAATGTCTTTTATCTTAAGACTCTGAATGATGTTTGTTTCTTACAGGTAGAATAAAGTAATGTGATTATGCTCATATTCTTTTGGAGAAACATCGTGTTTCTGGCGCTCAGTAGCATGTGAACAGGCCTCTATAATATCTCTAAATGGGTATTACTGGTGAGTTTTTCCTACAGAAGAGCGACTCACACAGTCTGTAGGCTATTGATCTGATCATATTGTCATTATTGAGGTAATATTGTTAAATTGGGACAGTTAAGCTTTGCAATGAATATCTATTTACTATTTATTTATCAGCCTACTGGAATTATAACACTTTAGAATTTCCTGTAATCTCCCTGCAGGAACACTATGTAAGTTTTTACTGGCAGTATTTACATGCTGTGACATTTGTATTGCAGCCATTTAGAATCATGCACAGGCCCACTGTAGGTTATTTCCATTCATTAAATATCTCCTGCAGCCAATAGATGATTTTCCATTAGATCTATGGGCTCAAAACAAAACACCCCCCCCCCCCCCCCCTCTCTCTCTCTCTCTGAGGCTGCATGTCTCACCAGGGTCTCTCTCTCCCTCTTTTTCTATCTCTTGCTGTTTGCTGGTGTGATTGTGGTTGTCGTCGCACATTGAACAACAAAGTGATTCATTCGGGCGGCCAGACACATCCGAGCTGACCCGCGGTCGGAGCATTTGCGTCAGTGATTTAGCGCCGGTGTAAACAGATCCGAAGCAGATGAGCAGGAAACACAACAAATATCAGATGAACAACAACTATAAAATGGAAAAAGTCCGGCAGGTTAGATTGAGCTTGACATCTATATCTGCTGCATAAAACAGCAAAACTGATCATACGTTTTTCTGGGGCGTCACACCAAATTAAAACTCACTCTTAGATTATTATAGGAATATTACAGCCAAACGATTTCCTCCTTTATTTTAAGGAGCATCACTCGAGTTTAGCGCGCATCATACGGGAGGATCGAGCAACTTAGATTTTCTACAAATCCTGCAGCACATTTTAGAGAAAAACAACCAAAACATCGCAGGGAAAACTGCAGATTTGATCATATCTTTAAGAGACAGAGAGAAGATAATAACAGTAGGTCTAACATGAAGAAGTGCTATGAGGTCACTGTAAACTCGCTGCTAAAGTAAACAGACACTATAAAACACCGCAACAGGGACTTGTCATCGGGGAAGTCGTGATTTACGCGCCGCCCTGCCGCCCGCATGCAGCTCCTTCATTAAGTGCATCCGTCTCCATCAGTGCTGGATCAGGTCTGAAGCGTCTTACCGTGTCGGGCGGCCGCGCAGAGCCGGCAGGAGGCGGTGAGGAGGAGGCACAGAGCCGCCCAGAGCTGCGGAGACCTCATGGTACATCCAACATCCACCGGAGCGAGTCAGGGGGGGAGCGGCCGCTGCTGCTGCGCTTCTACCAGCTCTCCATCTCTGAGGAGAGGCTGCTGCTGCTGCTGCTGCTGCTGCTGCTGCACGGGACTGATGGACAGGAAGTGTGAGTGAGAAAAAGAGAGAGACAGGGAGAGGAAGAGAGAGGAAAACACGACCACAGGAGGCGCCACGCTGCAAGAAATGTTTTAAAACATGAGTTGACAACAATGTCCTAAAAGTAGGTTACATATGTGTTATAAGTTGTCTAGAAGTAAGAGTGCAGCCGTATTCTGCAGATTGTTTAAAAATATATATCATTAAATTGGTAAAAGGCTAATAGTTAGTTGGTCCAGTGGTCCCCCAGGTTCCCCAGTTGTTCCCAAAGGGTCCCCAGATAAATCTTAGGGGCCCGTGAGATGATTAAAGGGAGAGGAAAGAAGAGAAAAACAAAGTTCTGATAAACACATTCTGATTTATTTTTAAAGATTTTCCTCTAAATAAGTTCATCATTGTCATGCAATCACATTTATTCATTTATATTTCGACACTGTGTCACTACCTCGTGCTGCCACCTGTGTAATGTTCAATCACATCTGTATATAGCGTATCTATAAACTCTTACAATATTCTGTATTTTTTAATCTATTTTTTATCTGCTGTGTTTACATTGAGCTGCACACACAGTCTTCATCATCATCTTCATCATCATGTTGTTGTTTCTTAAATGTAAAATCTTAATCTGAAAAGTTCTATCAAATAAATGCAGGGGAGTAAACAGTGGAGTTCAGGTAGAAAGTAATGGAGGTAATTTTAGATATGTTCAGCATCCCACGTTTGATTCCTTTGATACTCACTGAAGTGGTGCAGCCGTGCTTTGCTAACCAAGATGAGGTCATTCCTTTCCTCTGCAGACTTACAGAAGGTCACCAACGCTTTTATCTCTTCCAGACTTGACTAATGCAACGCACTTTACTCTGATATCAGCAAAAAGCAGCAGACACAAAACGCTGCTGCCAGGCTTTAAACAGAGAAGTGCTCACATCGCACCTTTCCTCGCTGCCCTTCACGGGTTTGAGACTGATTTCACTGCCGTGATCTGCCCCTTATGAGCCTGATTGCTGCTGGAGGTCCTCTGGCAGGCCCCTTATTATAATTAATATATCGACAACTGACTGGCCCTTTGCTGTCTGGGCCCCTCAGCATCCTCCTTTAAATAATAGAAATAATTTAAACAAATCAGTGAAGAAAAAGCCAAACTATCAAAGATTTAAAGTTCTGGATCTTACTTCTATTATACTATTCAATTATTGTAAATCATTTAGTATTTTTGAAGAGAGCTTTTGTTTTATGAAATTGTGTTTACTTTCTTACTTAAAAGGGCAATAAAAAAAAAGTGTTAAATGCTTGTGACTCACCACAACCCACTATTTTTGGCTTCACAAGAATTTAGTGCAGGGTTATTGTTTATTTTCAGGCGATTCATTTGTTTCTTTCTAATTTTGCTTGTTTCAGGACATTTATTTCCAGAAAATTTCATCCTGGCACACCAGCTGGGTTATTTCATAAGGTAATAAAACTCAACAGTTGAGTCTACAGGCATTTCTTGCAGTGTGGAGGTGTGTCCCTCTCTCACCATCATGAAGTCCATCTCATTCTGCCAAAAACCTGTCTGAGTCTTGGCAGAGAAGCACATCTGGCTCCTCGCAGTGTTTGATTAAAAGTGAGGAGGTGAAATTGGATTAGAGCAGCTTCTCCTGCAGAATGAAACCTTCCCCATTTACTTTCATTTGTGTATTAACCAAACGAAGATGAGACATGTTGCTTTGCTTTTGCCAGGACATGAAAAACAAATCTGGACAACTCGAGAAAGCTTCTCAATCTTTTATTATTTTCAGTTTGTAAGAAAGATGTGATTTTCTCCACTGGGTGTGAGAAATCTGTTTATTATTATTTTCAACATGAGTCAAGCTTGACACCATTTCTGATGTAAATATTCTTTGCATCAGCATGTGTAGAGTCCTGGAAGCGCTGCAGTAAGAACAACGTAAAATCCTTCCCGGCTTTAGTCGACCACTAGCGTGCTCCTCACTGTGGGGAACAACTCGAAGAAACCCTGCAGGAGCAAGCACACAGGAAGTGGGCGCGTGGTTTAGAAACACTAAAGTGAAATGACAAGACAAAGGAAAAATATCTGTAGGAAAAAAAAATCAAAAGCTTAAAAACAAAGAACTCGTGACTCATCCGGCGTCTGAGTATTTTATTTCTGAATCGCTCAAAGCTCTGAGACCTGAGATAAGACAAACATCTCCATCTGCAGAAAGCATGTGTGATGTGTCAGGATGAAACAGCAGCCGGGAAGACAAAAGGTAAAAACAGAGCTCTTAATAGCTCCGTATGTTTCCTAAGAGCATTTCTACCAACGCTCCTAAAAAAGAACTCCGTGAACTGTTTCTCATCCTCAACAAACATGTTGAATGATTAAACTTAGTATTTCAGTCTTTAAAATATTAGAAAATATCAAATCCTAAGTTCCCAGAGCCAAAAGCTGAAGTCTCGTTTTGTCCAATAAAAAGTCAAAGCCCAGAGAGATTCAGTTTAAGATTATATAAAAACAGGGAAAAGTAGCAAATACTAATTGTTTAAAAATCAAAATGGTCAAAAATGTTTTTATTGTGTTGATTTTCTGTCCATTGACTAATTGTTTCACCTTTGCAACTTTATGCAGCTCTGCCAAAGAGGCACTGACTCAACTCTCTGGACATTTTGAAGAAGGTTATATCAATATACAGGTGCTGGTCATATAATTAGAATATCATCAAAAAGTTGATTTATTTCAGTAATTCCATTCAAAAAGTGAAACTTGTATAATGTACACATTCATTCCACACAGACTGATATATTTCAAGTGTTCATTCCTTTTAATTTTGATGATTATAACTGACAACTAATGAAAACCCCAAAATCAGCATCTCAGAAAATTAGAATATTGTGAAAAGGTTCAGTATTGAAGACACCTGGTGCCACACTCTAATCAGCTAATTAACTCAAAACACCTGCAAAGGCCTTTAAATGGTCTCTCAGTCTAGTTCTGTAGGCTACACAATCATGGGGAAGACTGCTGACTTGACAGCTGTCCAAAAGACGACCATTGACACCTTGCACAAGGAGGGCAAGACACAAAAGGTCATTGCTAAAGAGGCTGGCTGTTCACAGAGCTCTGTGTCCAAGCACATTAATACAGAGGCGAAGGGAAGGAAAAGATGTGGTAGAAAAAAGTGTACAAGCAATAGGAATAACCCCACCCTGGAGAGGATTGTGAAACAAATCCCATTCAAAAATGTGGGGGAGATTCACAAAGAGTGGACTGCAGCTGGAGTCAGTGCTTCAAGAACCACCACACACAGACGTATGCAAGACATGGATTTCAGCTGTCGCATTCCTTGTGTCAAGCTACTCTTGAACAAGACACAGCGTCAGAAGCGTCTCGTCTGGGCTAAAGACAAAAAGGACTGGACTGCTGCTGAGTGGCCAAAGTTATGTTCTCTGATGAAAGTAAATTTTGCATTTCCTTTGGAAATCAAGGTCCCAGAGTCTGGAGGAAGAGAGGAGAGGCACAGAATCCACGTTGCTTGAAGTCCAGTGTAAAGTTTCCACAGTCAGTGATGGTTTGGGGTGCCATGTCATCTGCTGGTGTTGGTCCACTGTGTTTTCTGAGGTCCAAGGTCAACGCAGCCGTCTACCAGGAAGTTTTAGAGCACTTCATGCTTCCTGCTGCTGACCAACTTTATGGAGATGCAGATTTCATTTTCCAACAGGACTTGGCACCTGCACACAGTGCCAAAGCTACCAGTACCTGGTTTAAGGACCACGGTATCCCTGTTCTTAATTGGCCAGCAAACTCGCCTGACCTTCACCCTATAGAAAATCTATGGGGTATTGTGAAGAGGAAGATGCGATACGCCAGACCCAACAATGCAGAAGAGCTGAAGGCCACTATCAGAGCAACCTGGGCTCTCATAACACCTGAGCAGTGCCACTGACTGATGGACTCCATGCCACGCCGCATTGCTGCAGGAATTCAGGCAAAAGGAGCCCCAACTAAGTACTGAGTGCTGTACATGCTCGTACTTTTCATGTTCATACGCCAACATTTCTAAAAATCCTTTTTTTGGATGGTCTTAAGTAATATTTTAATTTTCAGAGATACTGAATTTGGGATTTTCATTAGTTGTCAGTTTTAATCATCACAATTAAATGAAATAAACATTTGAAATATATCAGTCTGTGTGGAATGAATGAAAATAATATCCAAGTTTCACTTTTTGAATGGAATTACTGAAATAAATCAACTTTTTGATGATATTCTAATTATATGACCAGCACCTTTATAGTATGGAATATAATTGGGCCTTTAAGGAGGTCGTATCAATCTATAATATTGAATATCACCGGGCCTTCAGAATAGGAGAGTGGGGAGCGTTTACAAGTGTTTTAGTGTTTGTTTGGAGTAAAAACAGCACAAATGACTGTTGTCATTGTCTATTTCACTGTAAAATTTAGGAATTCTTTCTCCAGAAGGAAGAGCCGGTGACATAATCTCAAGGCGTGTTTGTTTCACAGACGGGGGATACCTTGAAGAGGGTGGTGCTCTGCAGGACGCTGGAGGTGCAGCACATCTCTCTGATGGAGTGCATGGAGAGCTGCGGACCTCCGATGTCCACCACAGGGATGCCGAGGCGGGCGGCCAGGATGGGTCCGATGGTGGTTCCACACGGGCTGTCGTTACGGACCATCACATCCTGCATGAGGAAGCGCCAAGAGGTCAAACTGCAGGAAAATGACCTCCTAACGAAAGAATCCAATCTTCTTCTTCTCACCGTGGCACAGTCAGCCTACCGGACTCTACAAACACTTCTTCAGGCCACATTGTGATTATGAAATGAGACCGTGTGTCGTGATTAAAAGTCATAAATCTACAGGTTACAAATGTTTTGCTTTGACTTGGGGGCACGTTACTAATCTGTGCAGAGGCATTACAGAAAAAAGGTGCACATGAATCATGAACAAGCAGTACTGCAGTGATTTAATTAGCTCAGCAAGTCAATAAAATATTAA